GCAAACATGGTATGTACTCACTTAGAAGTTAGCTGTTAATAAAGGTTAAGAATGCTACAACCCACAGACCCAGAGAGGATAAGTAACAAATTGGGCTCAAAGCTGGATGTATGGATCTCCCTGGGAAGGAGAAATTGATTTTCCAGATGGATTAGGAGGGATCAAGTGGTAGGGGAGGGGTGGAGGAAGACAGTACAGGGGAGAGAGCCTAATGAATTCGAGAACATTTGGGGGGCTACATGGAACCCTAGTGCAGTGGAAACTTCCACAATACTATGAGAGTAAACCTAGGGAAGACTCCTAGTAATGGAGAAAATAGAGTCTGAACTGGCCATATTCTTTAACCAGACACCTCCCAGTGTTGAGACTGGGACACCAACCCAGCCACAAAACCTTCAACCTACAATCTATCCTGACTGCAAGATATGCAGGGACAATGGAAGTGTAGAACTTTTGGGAGTGGGCAGCCAGTGATTGGTCTAAATTGAGGCCCAGGATACAAAAGAGAGTCCACGCCCAACACTGCCAGGAAGACCAGGAAGCAGAGGCTGGAAAACCCAGAGACCTGTAATAGAAAACAAACAAACAAACAAAAAAAAAACATGTGTTCCAAATGATATTCTGCTATACTCATGGATCAGTGCCTAGCCTAATTCTCATCTGGAAAGCTTCTTCTGGCAGCTTATGGGAGCATACAGAGATCCACAGCCAAACATTAGATAGAGAGAGTCCAAATTGGAGATCCCCATGAGGTCCCTGCCCTCAGAGCACAAGGCCTGTTCATTTCTGAAAGGAACCAGAGGAGTACAGAGTGGGAGGTGGGGAAGTGAGGGAAGAAACTGGGAGGAGTGGCAGGAGGGGAACCACAGTTGGTTGGGATGTGTTGTATGTGAGAAAAATATAAATCGGAATTAAAAAGCTGAAAAAGAAACAAACAAACACCTAGAGGCACATCATCACTGAATGATATCAAATGCCAATGAGAAAAACCAGTATACTGCAATCTGCATCTCTTCACAGAAACATCAGTTTCATGGCAAGAGCAAGGCAGAGCATTCCATCTCTCATCTGCCCACTCTACACTGCTGAAACTTTCGGTATTAGGATTTAGACAGTGA